TAGGTCATATTGGAGACCGCTGGTATCACTTTCAATCTTGAGCTCAGAAGTACTTCTAAATCCCATCCATAAGGTTGACCCCACCTTGGTCTGCTGGCAGTGGTCCAGAGGGTGCCTGGACTGGTCTACTCTGGTGACCAGCCTAGCAAATAACCCAGCTGTCATCATAGAGCCTTTGTGCAGTGACTGATGGAGGCAGATACAGAGATCCATGGCCAGGCACCAGGCTGAGCTCCAGGAATCCAATTGATGAGAGAGAGGAGAGATACTGTAGGTGAGGGACGTCGAGATCATGATGGGAGGACGTGCAGAGATGACCGGCCACACTAGTGGAAACCCATGAACTGTGGTAGCTGTGGAGCCCCCATAGGACTGGACTAGGCCCTCTGGATATGGAAGACGGTTGTTTGGCTTAAACTGTTTGGGGGGCTCCCAGGCAGGGGGATTGGGACCTGTCTCTGGTCTATGAGCAGGCTTCTGGAAACTGGTGCCTGTGATGTGACACCTTGCACAGCCTTGGTACAGTGGGAAGGGGCTTGGACCTGCCTAGGCTCAGTGTGCTGGGCTCTGCTGACTCCCCATGGGAGATCTTGATTTGGGGGATGTGGGGATGCGGGGTGGCTTGGGAAAGAGGGCTAGGGAATGGGAGGAGGGAGGAGGGGGGACCTGTGGATAGTATGTTGAGTGAGTGGAAAATTTCTTAATAAAGAAAAATGAAAGAAAAAAAAAGTACTTCCAAATCCCAAACTTCTAATTTTAAAAACAAATATCAAGGCATTAAATACAGATATGTTGACATTAAGTGAGATTATTGAGCATAAAACAAAATAAAATCTGAAATATTTGCAATAAAATTACAGTTATTTAAATGAAAAGTTTTGGTAGACAGATAAAACTGTATAGAGCTACACATAGCATCAATGAAGTGGAAAGTAATCCTGGGGAAGTTGCCTCGAAATAGCCAAAGAAAGACACAGAGCTATTAAAATACGAAAAGCCAAGAGATGGAAGTTGATTGATAACAACCACATATGTAAAAAAATGACATTTCTTGAGCCGGGCGTTGGTGGCGCACGCCTTTAATCCCAGCACTCGGGAGGCAGAGGCAGGTGGATCTCTGTGAGTTCGAGGCCAGCCTGGTCTACCAAGTGAGCCCCAGGAAAGGCGCAAAGCTACACAGAGAAACCCTGTCTCGAAAAACCAAAAAAAAAAAAAAAATGACATTTCTGAAGCAGAAAGTTATGGGAAATCCTATGTGAAGAGAGAAAGAGCACAGGCTTCCATGTTGTTAAGAATAAAAGTACTGGGCAAAAGGAACAGCTGGATGATGAAGGAGAATGAGTAAAGGGAACCGGTCCTGACCAACAGCAGTGGTGCCAAGCAGCAGAACATCAACACTGAGGAAGAGCAGAGAAAGTTATAGAGGGAAATGCATTCTCGAAGAAGTGACTTTGGGGCTGAGAACAGATTTCTGGTCATCATAATGGAGTGTCAAGACCCACTCAAAGGAATCTTACAGGATGTTATTTACCCAGTAGACAGGTGAGCTCGAGGCAGGAGTAGAAAAACACAAGAATGAACAGCTGAACTGTAACAGCAAAAGGCAGACTGCATGTTTAGTTTGTAGTTTAAAGGGGCTGTAGGCGCAGCTTAGAGGTAGAACATTTATTTGCCCTGGGTTAGATCCCCAGAAACTCACAAGAAGATAAAATTGATGCACCACACAGTGGCAGTCATTTGATGACACGGGGAAGACAGCCGGGTTAAAGCTTCCTTTGAAGTCATCTGTACAGCTAAAGGTAGAAATTCTGAATAACTTATGCCTTTGTTAAAAAGTTTGAAGTATTCTGTAAATAATGCAAAAACGAAACTTGGAATGGCAATATTTTTAGCAGACCAAGTAGAATTCAAGGCAAGAAAGAAGTGCTGCAATAAACAGACACAAACAAACAAAAAAACAAAAGCCAAACCAAAATCAAACAAACCAAAAACCAGCGAAACCACTTCACCAAGTTGTAGTATTAAAGAACCTACGCATACCAAAAAATATGAATTGTGAAAGCTCCATAGTCAAAACCAAGGGGATCCTAAGGAAAAAACAAACAAACAAAAAATCACACTTGTCAAATGGATGGCTGAGACCAAGGAAAATGAAATTTTACTAAGAATTTGAAAGGTTTGAAGAGCACGTCCATATCTGTAGATTCATAATCTTCCATCTGAAGTCACAAAGGTCTCCACAAGTGTGAAGGGTTGACTGGGCAAAAGTGCAAGCCAATCTAAATTAAAAATGAGACCCTTTCTCAAAACAAGCAAGCAAGCAAACAAACAAACAAACAAACGACCCCACTTAAAAAAAAAAAAAAACCCAAATAGTAACAACAAGAACATTTTTGAGGGAACCAATGAAACAACCTCCTAGGTAATTCATGTATTAAGGACCAATTCCCAACAGAACTGATAAAGTATTTGAAGAAGGATTGGGGAGGTGGCTCAGTCAGTCACGTGCTGTGCTTGTCTTCCCTGCACTAAGACCTGAGTTCTCCCACCGGCACCCACTGAGCTCATCAATGCCAGGGTGGATGTGGAGGCAGGTGAGTCCCAGGGATAGCTGGAGCATCAGTCTCACCTTGGCAAGCTCCAGGCCAAGGAGACCTGCCTCAAAAATCAGGGTGAATGGCTCCTGGGGAACGATAGCTGAGGTTGTTCTCTGCCACCCCTCCACCTCTCTCTCTCTCTCTCTCTCTCTCTCTCTCTCTCTCTCTCTC